AGAAGGTCCTGGAGCAAAAGACAGAAAAGAATAGGCGAAAGGACACATGACAGGGCAGACAGGGCATCACGATAGAAAGGGTTAGGAAAAGGGGGGTGTACAAGGGGCGGTCTCTTACCTTGGTTTGGCCAATTAAGTGGGGTCAGGAGGAGTCTCCCTGGTGGTTTGAGAAGGGGCGGAGGGTCAGCCAGCAGTTTAGGGTTGCCACACGGTGAGATCAGTTCCCACCCTCCCTCCCTTGTCTCATTGGTTGTTGGGGGTTCACATTATGTGTGGTGCTGGGTGGTGTCGTCTGTTGTGGCGACTTATGTCGGGCTGGTCATGACTCCAGTTGGGTGCGTCCGAGGTACGCAGTCCCGGGAGCTTGCAGGTCCCGCAGGAGTGAGGTAAAATGACGGAGGGTAGGAATTCTCTGAGTTTTATGTACGATGTTGCCCCTGAGTCGTTGATTTGCGGCTAGGGGCCAGTTGGTTAAGTCGTATGCAGAGCTCTACGGTAGGAGACCAAAGGTGTCTTCACAGACCTCAGCTTCACATTGATAGGAATAAATTGTATTTAAACTGTTATGGTTGAATGTTTTATATTCAATTTGTTATAAAGTTAATATATTTAAATAAACGGCTACTACAGCCATTTTATATGCAACTTGGTGTGGTCTATTATTGGGTACGGGTATTTATAATGGGATAGGGCTGTAGCAAGCTATGTCAAGAATATGCTTAAGTCTTACCCTGTCAAGTACCTATGAAAGATATACTGTATGCTTCTGTTCCTGAAAGTAACCCATTGTCAGGGGTAGTAGCTGTATCATTGCATCTTGGACAAAGGAACCTGTAAGCTATAAAGAAGCTATGTGAAGATCAGCATGCCAGCAGCATAAAAATGGACCCAATAAATCAAATCAAGAAGTCTACCAGTTGCATTAAGGGAAAAATGACCGGGAAATCTTTTCCCAAAAGTAGCAACATAACATTCTAACAGCCCTCGGATTTAATTCACTCAGATCTATGTGGTCCTATAAAATCTCACACTCAATGAAAGAAGAGGTATTTTCTAACATTCATTGTGAATTTGATGAAGTTCCAGACTTGAATATCATACCCAAGTGAGCCACAAATTGGGCAAAATGCCTAAATAACTCTGCACAGATATTGACAGAGTACAAACGTGGTGAAATACAGGTTTTCTACAGAAGTATGGAATTATGTTTCAGACTACTGTACCTTACAATGCAGAACATGCTGGTGTTGCAGATAAACATGGAGAGATGGGAAACAACATCACAACCCTGAAGAGTTTGTAAATCTGCAAATACTGATTCTTTTTAATGTCACTTCTTTATCATTGTGTCTGATTTAGGAAGCTGAAGTGTATGACGGATGGTGAAGCTATTCCCCCTGACTGGCCCTATTTTAAAACCATTGATCGGATCCTGTCCAAACTGCCAGAACCGACAGATGGGAAGTTGCAGCCTGGGCCTTCCACATCTCAGACGGAGGCCTCACAATCTCCTTCTGTCAAATCTACACCCCTCTACCTGCCCTACAACCAGTTCACATATGACGAGGCCTGTTTCCAGGATGACAATTCAGAGAGTTCCACAAGTCTGCATTCATTTAAGCTCAGGTAAGATACTCTGCAAAGTACTTTGATTTCTGCTAGGAGCTGAAGGCATCATGTGGTATCACAGATTTCCCAGCATACACTGAACAGAGGATCTGTATGTCTGTTGGAGAAAGCATTACTGACATTGAACAATGATGGCCAACCATCAGTCTAAACCTCCTGTCCATTTTTCTGCCTTGTTTTTGTCATTATGCATGTACTTTAACGTGTAATAGACAAAACTTTTTGTTTTAGTTTTTAACAGAATAGGGAATATTTGGGAACTTTGTCCAGTTTTAATTGCTGCCCATGCCTCTAATGACTAGATTACTAGATTGACCCTGACTTCCTCTCTCGCGTAGCGATCACTGATAGATCGCCGCTTCTCTGGATCCCCGCTGCTCTCCCCAGCGGGGAATTTAAAAGTACTGTTTTTATTGTTTGTGTCCCAAATAGGGAGATTTTGACTCCCTTCCTGTGTTGTCCGGAAATACAGGAAAACGTGGGCCATGGACAAAAAAAACAAAAACCAATAGAGTGGGTAACCCCTTTCCTACCCAGTCTGCAAGTAGAATAAAATATTTTGTATGATATTAAACTTTGAAAACACTGTAGACGTCAGAGGGCAGTTTGGTCAGATTGAAGTGGACCTTTACCCCCCCAAAGAAACACTGCTCCTCCACGGCTCAGGGAAGGGATGAGCTGGGTGCTTTTCTGTTTATTTTTACCTTTACCCCTTTCACTAAAAACCACATCAGCATGCAGCTCTGTATGCTGATATGAATTTGCCTTAAATTCATTTGTTAAACAAACATATTTTGCTTTTACTTACAATTATGTTTTTTTTTTTACACTCCCTGGTCCTCTTAGGTATTAGTGATGTAGCCCATGCATTAGGTATGCATCCTAGGAAGGTTACCTCACAGTGCATTGCTGGGAAATGAGAGCTCAAGAAAAGGCATTTTCCTGATAATGTGCATGGTCACCTGTCCTGCTTACATGTGCCAGAGTTCCTGGAAGTAAAGGGAGATGAATCAATCTGCCCTTAGTCAAAATGGCCCCCATGGGAAGAATGGGGAGAATACATTCAGAAAATTACTTTATTTAAGTATCTGTTTGTCAATTGTCTTTACTAAACATTTCTAAAGGTGCCCTTGGTGTCATTTTAAAGATAAGGGTAATGTTCCTCTTTAAGCATGTATGTCACCTTGAGGCACATATAGCTGCTCTTGAGTCTCTAAACACAACAATCAGAAATGTCACCAGCATTGTCACATCAAAAATGCAACGTTATGTTAAGCCTGATGAAGGGGACCCTGCGTGGCCCCGATAGGTTGCATTTTTGACAATATGCGTGAATAAAAGACACTTTTTTTTGGACATCATCTATTGGTGTGCTGGTGACATTTCTGATGTACACTGTGATGTGCGGCGGCATCCGCAGTCGCTTCAGCACCCACCATTCAGCACAAGGGGCATTTGGTAAGGAGTGCGGCAGTTATCTACGATTATGTCTAAACACAACCATTCACATTATGAAATTATTTTTACGTCTGGATGTATATGGACAATTTTAATCACACCTATCGTCCATCATTTATGCACATCAATAGTGTCTTTTTGTACAATAACACGGTCATTCAATATTTTGAAGCTTGTATGAGCCATATTTTCTATGATATTACTTCTACAGTTAGGCTAAGTCCCTTAAATTAGAAGACGGACATCTTCTGTCCATGCCCCTCTTTAGAGTTGGTTCATCAAATTTGATTCTAGAAAGTTGTAGACTTTAGGAGATGATCAAAATGCCAAAAGCTCCCTTACAGACTTTCACACTCGCAGCCATAGCTGTGCTTTAGAGGCCACTGATGCAAAACTTAAAAGAGCACTATGGGGTAAGTGTTTTTTCCCGCCATAGTTCTCTTTAGGGTCACAGGAGGATATATACTAACCTCCTCCCGTGACCCAAAGCTCAGTATATTGCGGGCTATTGCACGCGATATACTGAGAGCGCCGTGGCCGGGACGGATCCCGACAATACTGTCGAAATCCACCCAGCTGCGTGAGTGACAGCGGGCTCTGCCTATCTAGAGGCAGAGCCAGCTATGCCCGCCCCCTCCCCATTCGTTCCTCCACTCAGCACTGACAGTCACCGCTCACTGCATGGAGATGATCCTAAAGTGAGCAAGCGACTGTATGTTTTTGCTCACTTCCCGATCGATAGAGCCGACCTGTGACAGCTTCTTTGTCACAGGTCGGCTCTAACTATGAGGATGAGTGGAAATCACTCACCTCATAGATCTCCTTTAAGTTAAACCTTGCTATGTGCCTATGGATACTCAAGTACAATCATTCTTCCCTAAGCCCTTGTTATCTAATTTTCTCATTTATGTGTCATAACAAAAATTTGTAATGACATATACATGAGATAATTAAATAATAATGTTGGTTTGTAATTTGTTTCCCATTATATGAAACATATATGCATCACTGAGAAAGTGGACTTGGTTCCAAGAAGCACATTGAATAAAAAACAGCATATACAGATCACTTGTGCTGCTATAAAGCACTTGACACTTGACACTGCACCTATAGGGATGCAGAGACCCATAAAAACATGTCAGAGGGTCTAACACTTCCCCGTGCCATCCAAAACTGAGAAAACATGTTTTTGCCCCTTCATTGGTTGCCATGCACACTGCTCTACTGTGAGTTTTCTCTACAGCAAGTAATTTTCAAATGTTCTACTTCTAAGCTGAGAGAACATGAACTCTGAAGTTCTGCTAATGCCTGATTTCCTCACAACATTTAATATATATGTATATTGTCATTCTTTGTCTCAGGTCTGGTGAGAGGTCCTTGAAGAAAAGGAAAGTGCACAGTTGTAGCTTTCAGAAGAAGAAGTTGAGGATCATGGAGAACATGTTGGAGGAACAGAAGCGATTAAGCCGGGCAATGGAGGAAACCTGCCGGGAAGTAAGACGGATCCTAGACCAACAGAACATCATCCAAGTACAGAGCTTGCAGCTCCAGGAAAGGATGATGAACCTCCTGGAGAAGATGGTCTCCAAATCTGCACCTTAACTGGCTTCACATACTGGTGTTGTACATCTGCAGCTCCCTATGGACAAGCTGCATTCCATCCTGTCCTTGTGGCTTCCATTCACATAACTTTCTAGTGAAAGGTTCTTCATGAATGATGGGATCCAGATCAGATGACTAGATTTCTCTGAGTGCCTACAATGACCACTTGTAAAGCATTGCTATGAGGATAGAGACAGAAACTGCCTGGACATACGGTGTATAGGGATTGATTAAATCCCTTCATTACTGCTGCCTTCATTACTTATTTTTAATTGTTTTTGATTGCAGTTAGAGAATATTCCACCTTTTGTAATCAGCAAAATGAGGCTTGGAATAATGTATCTTATCTAGCCAAAGGGCTGAGTCATGCATGCACTTAAGTGTATACAATTAAAGTGTTCTCCATATGATAACAGAATGGTTGCAGGATAGAGTCTCTGAGGCACAACCTGGACAATACTATACTGTGTCCTTAAATGCACAGGGACCAGGGGACAAGCCAAGCTTAGCAGATCAGGATTAGATACCCAAAGGCAAGCTCTCAAATGCCAGTTCTTATAACAGACCAGGATACATTTCCCTAACCACATTTTAAAGTGACGCTAAACTCAGGAGTTAAACTTTAAAAATACAATCAAGTACCTTAACTATTAACAAAAATGTGCGGTACCTCTTGCTCCGGGTGAGGCATTCCCCAACCTCTGCCCCTGCCGGATGAAGCCCTGCCCCTGCCGGATGAAGCCCCGCCTCCAACCCAGCCCCAAGCTAGTGTAAAGGAGGAAGGGAGTGTCCCTCACTTGCTCCTCACAGCTGAGGCACTCCGTCCATGACAGGTTGCCCAGCGGAGAGGATTTCCCTGCTGTGTAACCTGTTAGATGCCGATCTGAATGGAGAAAAAGCTGTCAGCTTCAAGCATGAAGCTGACAGCTTTTTCCTCCATAATTCTAGGTGAGGCTCTGCCTCACCTGGCTGCACGCCCCTGCTGTAGATCCTCAAATCATCTCTGAATTGGTGCTGACACTGTCCTTCCTTCTGGAGGGTGGCTACTTTAAACCCCTATGGTCCCTGTGTGTGTTGTAAAGTAGACACCTCTCCAAGCTCGCACCTGTGATGGACTACAATCTCACTATAAATTAGTAAACTAAACATGAGATTGTAGTCCATCACAGGCGCGAGCTTGGATCAGTGACTACTTTAAAACACACACAGGGACCATGGGAAACAGAAGTAGCCACCCTCCAGAAGGAAGGACATTGTCCGCACCAATTCAGAGATGATTGACAGATATACAACCGAGTGATACACAAATAAGATCCATTGTTGTTAATAGTTGAGGTATTTGAATCAATTTTTAGGATTTAACTCCTGAGTTTTATATCACTTTAATTACTGTAGAACAGCTTTGCTAAGGCATTGTTCCTTAATGACGTCACAGACATGCCGGAGCAGTACCATTATTAAGTCCAGTAAGTGGAAGAGGCGCAGCCCTGTGGCAGATTGGGCTGCCTGCATTGAACATGTGTTGCACAGCTGGTTCTGATTCTATACAGTTCTGATTAATTGACTGCAAATTATTGTTTTATGTTGTTATCCACTTCAAGACGGAACAGATGCAATGTTTTGTTTTTTTTTGTTTCAAAAAGTTTTTATTTTTATTTCCATAAAGTATTAGTTGAACGTTGCACTGTTTGTCTTGCCACAGATTTGTCTCGGATATCTTTAGATCTGATACGCTTTTAACGTTTATCTGTAAATATTATTCATAAATTATGAAATCCGCTTTTCATTGATTTATTTTTGTCTTAGTATTTTGCAGAGAACTTTTTTCCCATGCACTGGATCTATGTGTATTGCGATGATTTCTGCACACTGTATTGCAGATTCACGGCTGCTGCTGTTTTGGAGACACGGATGTAGGCATTACCTGCACTTTAACCAAACTTATTGTTAGGTGAAAGAAAAAACCATCAGTCTGCACGCGAGGCCTGTCTGAAAATATCTTGGAAGAAAGAAAACTATTGCAGGGGATGTCTGTAAATTGGATTTAAAGTAGAACCAAACTCTCAAACTTTTTTCAATAATGAATCCAGATCAAACAAATATACATTGGCCAGCAAAGGATTTCTTTACATTTTTGCCCAATCACTTATAGTCATCATGTTTCTGGACATCTGGCTCCAGCTCTCTTACCTTGGTTTCCCTGAACTTCCTCTTCAGTACAAGATCACAAGGGACCGAGCAGTCTTCAGCAGCTGTCCATCTACTAGCTAAGAGAAGGAAGGAGTGAGGAGGCGTTGGAGAGTGTCTTGCCTTGCTGTGTTTGTGGAGTCACACACAGCTTATTAGCACACACAAGGGTGGCTCCATAGGACCCTGCAAGAGAAAGGAGGCACCCTAAAACAGGATATCAGGGTCTTTGCTCAGGGGACCAGCTGATTCTGCAGCAAGCTAAAACACATCAAGACGCAGCATTCACTGTAAGTGATTAAATCAGCTTTTGAATAGCTTAAAACCCTTTTGACTTCAATATGACTTTAAGCTTTGTGCACAATTCTGAAGAAAGCAGTGAACCAATCGAATGAGCAGCACATTAGTTTTATGGGGGAGTTCTACACAAACTGTGTATAAAATGTTCCTAGTTTTGCCTTTTTGGCAATTTTCAACCCTAGCCTCATTATTTTACAAATCAGACTATGAATAGAAGGCAAATAGACTTAAAAGGTACAGTGCACAAATAATGATCAAATCAAAGTACACTTCATTAAAATACACTCATCTACCCCTAAATACACCCCCAAAAACACACTCTCTAAAGAACAAAAACAGTTTTTTGTTTCACCTAAGCAGCTCAGTGAGATTAAAAGTTCCCGCTTTGTTAAAATGACTCCGCTGATCCCTACTTTCATCATGTGGTATTGGCACACTTCTCAGTGAAATTAAACACACTATATCAGTTTAATCGTTTAGTCAATTCTAAATCCTGTATAAGATAAATGTAATTAGCTATTTTTTAAGCATAACGGATCACCTTTGATATACATTTAGAGCAGCCTTTTTGTAAAATCAGGGATCTATGCAACCGCATGGTTCCTCCCAGGGGTTCCTCGAGCAATGACCCTTCTTAGGCAATAACTGTGCTTTGAAGTAACATGCGGTAAAACACACATTTTACTGCAATGTAGTAACGTAAATCAGCCCTAAAGGAAATCAGTGATGAGAGAGAAACGGAGACAAGTATTGATGGTTTCTTCCATCCTGTGCTATGCCCATTCCTGCTCTACTTGTGAAGTTCTGTGTTATATGCCACTCAAACAGTTGGCCTAAATACCCATAGCACTGGATGCCTGAGGTTGCTCAGTCACAGGGCAGGGCTTCTTAGCTAGAGAAAACCCTCTCTCATAGCCACATGTTGAGATAGAGAGGAATCATGGGCTGCCCATTTGTTTGCCTTGGGGGATACTCTGGGTCGGGGTGAGGGATCTATCCAGAAGAGGGATGTCAGAGTGAGAGGGGAGAGAAGACTGTCCAGTTGAACCCATAGTTGGCTTCTGACCTGAAAAAAAAACATCCAACAATCGAATTAGTAGAGCTGCTTTATTATAAAGTTCGATATGTGGTAGGCACACACCCCCATCCTGTTTGTGCTTAGCTAACTCCGTATACTGGAGGCACACCGGAGTGTTGGTACTTGGTCCAAATATATCTCAACAGTGAAAAGCACAGTGGGAGGAAAAAGGACTTAGGGACTTCTATGGGAAGAGTTTGGAAGACAAATAGTAGACATGGTAGGATGTCCATTTTAAATAATGCCATCTGATCGAACCATGACCGTGGTTAAGGTTATTCACTAAGCTCCCAAAGGCAGTCGAGTGAATAACCGAGCCGAAGTGAAGTGAGGCGAACACCGTTCGGCTATTCACTTCGGCCCTGTACGGCTGATTTCAGCTGTGCATCTGCTAAAATCAGCAAAACATCGGCTTGCTTCCAGCTTGCCAGAAATGGGGGGGAAAAAAGTGGGGTCCTCCCTAAAATTCCCAACATGACCATTAATCCGAGCACAGGCCTGGCAGGGCAGGAAAAGGGGGGGGAAAGCCCTGGGGCGCTGGTAGTGGGGGGTTTGCGGGCAGGGGGCTTATTTGCATCAGGATACCCCCTTTAATAAAGGGGCACCTAGCCCTTGTGAATGAGTAAGGGCTACTTGTACCTCAACTCATTCACTAAAGGGTTAAATAAAAATATAAATAAACACACCAGATTTTTTTTTTAAATGCCTTTCATTAAAAGAAAAAAACACAACAAAGATTTTAGACAAGTCCTTTATTAAAACAAAAAAATCCTAAAAATGGATCCAACAACGTAATCCTAAAGTCAATTCCGATGTCCATGACGACTCATCGAAATTTTAAAAAACCCTGACGCCCGCGACCCGTCCGCAGGAGACGAACTCCCGCCACAAAATGACAATCTGACAGATGGCGGCAGAATATATACACATGTGGGCAGAGCTAGCGATGACATCACCGCTACCTCCGCCGAACTGTTTACATTTGTCCCGCACCTGTCAGAGTCTTCCCGACTAAATCAAAACAACTGGGCAGAGCTAGCCGTAATGTTGCGGCTGGCTCCGCCCAGTTGTTGTCATTCATTGACAGCCTAGTGCCCTCATATGCATTCGGCTCAGCTGAGCAGTTTGCCTGCCTTCGGCTGCTGAACGTGCTATTGTGAATAGTTTGTACAGCAGCCCCTTGGGTCGGCTGAAGCGGAGGGCTTCGGCGGACGAGGTGAGTCGAAGGATTAGCCGATGCTTCAGCTTAACCCTTCGGCTCCTTTGTGATTAACCCTCTAAGAGTTTATTCAATTTTCAGAAAAATACAGGGGTTAAGAACAGAAGAGCAACAATGCAAACAGAATTGTAGTGTAATCAAGGCAAATGAAAAGCTCAAGACAATCAAATCATCCAATACAAGTAATGGAGAGTAAGCATTCAACACGTGGTATAACAATACACAGTCTGTCTGGAGTGAGAGGAATGTAGATAAAGAATTAATGTAGGCAAAAAGCTATGCGTCAGAATGAACAC